TCGCCTATATTCGCTTCTCGAATAGAAAAAAGGCAGGATTTTTTATGACTTAACAGCCTATTTACCCTCCTAAAAGGGCTGTAAGGGGTAGAGACTGATTAATAATGAGAAGTGATGAAAAACGCAAGAGAGTATGGGGGAAAAGTGCACATATTATTTACTGACAATTCTCCGACACCATGCATTATGTCTGTGTTGGGGTGAGGTATAAAGAGAAGCGCAGCCTTGCACAGAATACAGGACCCGCCTCGTCGTTCAGCTTCTGCTCTCAAACGGAAGAATAAAGGCGTCCTTATTGCTACCATATGGGATCCGGCAATAAAGGACGCCGCATGCACCCAGGGGTTTGGTGGCTGGTAAAGAAATCGGTGCATTCCTGATTTTTCAGTTTCAAAATTCATCAAATTTTTGCATTTTTAGTTATTTGCTTAAACACTTTTCTTGCAGTTTTGCTCAAATACTCATCTACTAAGTTTTATGGATGTGTGCTCCTGTTTCATACCTCATCATTGGCTTGCATGAAGCAGAGGTGTGCTCTAGGTCTATAGATAACCACTCCTAGGTTACGGTTAAACACTATAAATATGCATACATGAGAAAATCTAGCCCCCACGACACCGTTAACCATTTGGGAACTCGATCGGTCAGTCGACTAGCCACTGCTGGCAATAAGGGGACGCCTTCACAGGAGGGCAGATGCGAAGCTGAGTGCGGGTAGCGAACCACGAAGAGAAATTCGTGATGCGCCTACTCGATGTGGAAAACGAATAGCTGCTGCCCTAGCAATGCGTCACACATGTGTTGATATGAATGATATGCCAACAAGCCCAAGAATGTGATGGCTCGGGGTGGTCCTGACATCCACTCATCTTTGCCTATATCCATCGATGCATCTACCTTCTGCTGCCTACAGTGCCCTTTTCGCGTCGACGGTGGTAAGGCAAAGAGCCAAAGCCTTCTCATTCGTCACTTTGGTCATGGTTGCTTTTAATATAAACGCTATGGGATATTTTATCTCTGCTCACCTAGTGTTTATCTGAACTGGGTGCCTTCTTGACATGGACAATGGCCCGGATTGATTGTTGCAAGCAATTTAGTCGTAGCTGTGAGGCCACTGCTGACACTTGCACCTACTCTACGCACTGGACAAATAGACATGCCCATTTGTGTCACGTCGACTCCGAGTCATCACGTTCATCGGCTTTTTGGCTTATTGTACACATCAACATATATGACGCATTTCTATCCCACTAGCTATTCCTTTTTAAGGGTCGGATAGGCAACTTGATATTATTCGTTGCATAAAATCTTCTTGACATTCAAGACACTGGTGTTTGTCTGTCTCACGGACATCCGTACAACTCACTTGAGAAGATCCATTGAGGCTTATTGCCAATCGGGTGAATGGTAGGTGTGCTTATTTTTTGCATGATTATTAATTAAGGCAGTCTCTCGTTGTAAAGTTATTCCTCAATTACCTTCATGTCTACATGCCATTCCCACTAGTTAGCTACATTAAAATGCTGTTCGATTATGGCAGAGTACTACTGAGACATTAAGTGGTGAGATGAAGAGCCTTGCAAACTACCACGATAGAGATGAGGAACTGATTGCATTGGTCCCTGTTTAGTAGGAGTAGATGACATTTCAGATATCTATCCCTTCATGACCAATATTGAGGGGCAAATTTGTCTGTTCTTTATTTGTGAATTATTCAGGTAGGAGAAACCGCTGTCGACAGTTGGCTAAGTATAATTTGTGCTAGGCAACTATGATGGACGGACATCAGCACTGCATTTGAACACCGTTATTCCTGTTGCACAGGTAATCGCATTAGGAAAAAATAAACGTAAAAGAGGTAATTGTGAGGATGATGGTAGATTGCTTGCCAAAATCTATAATTTTTACTGTTTATGCCTACAGCATGATAAACAACTCCACCTGCTGCCTACTGATCCAACCACCTGCCTATATGCTAATGTTAGTCCGTGGAGTAGACGGGCACACACGGACACAAGAAGACGTCAGAATTTTTATGCTGCAGAATCGTGTCCTTCCCTTTAGCATCATTTTAGTAAGCATAGCATATGCGCAGGAGTTTAGGACATCTCATGGTCCAGATTGCCGGCCGATTCCACGAAACTTCGCTACATTTGGTCGAGCCTGCCTCTCCTCGTCAAAATGTTCCCAATACACTGTCAGAAAGATAATCAGTGACTTCTAAGGAAGATTGGTAACTGCAAGGCTATCTGAGGCAATAATAAATCCATTTTGAAGCAGTTGTAGCCTCTTGTCTCTTTTTTTCTATGAAGGGATTTTTGATGGTTTGGGCAAGATGGAAGGAAAGGACATGGTTTTGGGATCATTTGATGCAGATATTTGAACTTTTTTCTTACTGCACCAAAGTATTACTTCGTCGACTTTTGCATTTATGAAAATTTTCCTTAAACATTGAGAAAAAAGTCAACCATCGCCAATATGTTTGTATCATTTGCATCTACCCATCTATCTGGAGGCTGACAAACGGGGGAATTAGGAGAGTATATAATAGGGAGAAATGGAGGCTAAAAGAGGTATAAAGGCTTACTGAAGGAGGCTTAAAATTTACTATCCTTTAGATTAGACAATCATCTTTTAAACAATGGGTAGCTTGTCTTTCTTAGTGTCTTTTCATTCATCCAGGCCTCTCTCTTTCTATAAGCGGGATTTTATCTGTGGCTTTAGGTCTCATCCATCAGCTGATTGATTGGCAAGATAATCAATAGGCAACGATTGCTTCGCATGTGTTCCTATCCGTTCAACAGATCTATCAGTGTGGATGTGTCAGCACTGAGCCGTACTTGAATAGCACAGACCATTCAACCCTAAGTCACTCAGCCACCAAATGCCAAGCCATTTGTCAGGCATTGATAAAAATTAAGTAGACATAATTGAAGGCATGTGCATAGTTATGCTTCTAGCAATAAAGTACTTAAAGTTCATTGCTTTTTGGGCCTGCAGTACATTAAAGGCCGTTTGTAGTACCTAGGCAGTGGCAACTTACAGTAATACCACCGTTCTTGCTCCCTTTACCGGAATCCATGGTATGGGGACAGTCCTCTAAAAAACTCCCCAAGTTCAACAGATTTCTTGTGTAAGTACCAACCATACAACTTAACAACTATTTATAGTTCTACAAAGTAAAAAGTTTTGTTGCAATGTACATGCTCATATACATGAAACAAAAATTGATAGTGCCTGTGTGTCGGCATCTTCTTTAGCAGGCCCCTGCCCGAAATCTCTTAAGCTTAAGCTTAAAGTTACATTTTACTAGTTGTTTATTCTACTTGATGAATACTTTAATGCAGCAAAATAGTGATTTGCATTGATCTGCATCATACACATTTGCAGACCTAGGTTGCATTAATTCCTTCTAGGGATAATTAAACCACTTCCAAAATTTGTTTAGGCATCAAAATTACCGAACTATTTGCAGAAATTTAATAGCTAGAAGATGTAAAAAGTTATTTTTAAGAATACAGGCCGATAAAGCCTACCTTTGGTAGAGCGCTTCATATGAATTGGTTTAAAAAACGGCATTGTTAATGAGACTCGAAATACATGACCAGAAGATTACATATCAATGAAGCCTCTGCTACTATTAGGTTACCTTTTGCACGCATCTCCTTTTATTCTTTATTTTACTACACCAAATAACTAAACAATCACGAGAACATCACTTTGTGCCCACAAATACACTCCACGCTTTCAGATGCAACTGCGACTGCAACTGTGCCAAATTTCACCTTCAAAGCCGTTCTTTTAATATAGCAGAATCGATAAATAAGTTAATTTCTTAATCATTAAAGCCACAAATTAGCTGTACGTCTAAACTGCTCTTGTGTTGCTAGCGGCATACACAACATCCACCACTCTTATCGAAACTCCACCAACAAATTTCTACATTGCTTCATTCTTCCTTCTGTCTACCACCAATCATGCATTCGGCAATCCCATTGTGCAGCTCTCGACCCTTTCATTCCCACGTCTTTTTAAAACTGACTCAGCACATATAGGGCATGAGGGCTGTGTGTCTCTGGATGCCTTTGCACATGGAAGTCGACATCTTCTCGTTTTGTCACAGCTATCTCCCTAATAACTGCCACTGCTATCGAGGCAGTTACAACTGTGCCGACTTGGAGATCCTCTTCTTTCATTAAGCATTCCCACTTCAGCTATCATTGGGCTTTGTCGACTCACATCCAATCGCCCAAATCTCCGCACTTTCTCAGGACTCATTAACAGCGTTTATTCAGATTGTGTTCTGACCTATCAACATTGTCGTGTACAGCTCGATGAAAAAGACAGTGAGTTGCGGAGAAATAGTCAACTTGTGACCTGTCTGACTAATGGTTAGAATTTCATAAGCAGGCGGAGTAGTAACACTTGTCACTCTCCCTGGTGGGATGCGCATTCCTCCCATCATCACCACTGTAGCGCCACATTTAAAGGTTGGTAAGCGACTTATCTCGAGCAATCACCTGAATACACTCACGTCTAGGGGCCTCTAGCATTTTTATAATTTCAAGTAAAGCCAAGTAAGTCAGTAAGTCTGTTGGACAATCATTTAGCCGACAGGTGGGTCGGCAGGCAAATTAGATTAATAATGGGATAGATGAATGAGCGAAAGGATGAATGCGATTGAATGAACGTATAAATGAATAAAGAATAGATGAATGTGGCAATTTGATGCTTACAATATGGTCTTGCAGATGGATAGACGGGTAAGGGAATATACGATTGAATTGCGTATACATGGATCGGTGCATTGAGATAATTAAAGGTAGGTGGATAATAGACAGATGGGTATTAATGGCTGTCTTAACTCCTAAAGCTAAAGCTCAGTCTCTGCACATTTCTCTTCTTCGCCATTAACACGCAGCACTTAATTATAGCACGTCCTTTGGTATGTTTGCGTTTTTTCCATCCCTTTTTCTTGCAGTTTTTTCCAATAACTTTTCCCTCTTAATAGACTCGAGTGATCCCGCTCTGCATTCTCCTCTTCCAATCCAGTGGGCCATGTCGATATGGCGGCATCTGCACTTCCTCTGTGATCCATTCTACTGCCAGTTCGAATCCCAGTAACACTAATTTCTCGGATGAGTGACTGTTTTACTGACTAATAGATTGGTCACCATACCGGCTTACAGACGGGTAGCCTGATTAATTAATTCATTTGCTCGGTGAATTGAGTTCATACTTTCTTCAGCAGTTTGTCCGTGAACCACATGATTACTGCTTGGTAAACCAAATAGCACAGCAGGATCGGTTGCAAAACTTTCCATTTAGCAATTGCTACAAACAATCAGCACTAGTGTTATAGAGCGAGAAAGCAGTTAAGGAGGGCTTGTTCAGTGTCAGTTGGCCCCTCTACCACTACGGATACGACCATCCCTACGGTTTGCCACATTGCGGCGCCGCCCATGATGACCATGCACTCTTCTCACCACATTGTGAACCCTGTATGACACCAGTCCACGGTGCCTACTTCCACGGATACGAACATGGCCAGTTAGCGAATCCCATTTCTCTAACTATCTCCTTGCTTCCTTTGATACTCACTTACCTTCTCAGATATGTCGCTTTTTATACCCTTCTCATCATCTCTAAACTCTCCGCCTTATAGTCCTGCTCCACGTGATGTTCATACTCCATGTACTTTTGGTGCAACATTCGTACTTGTCGCACGCCACCATCGCACTCGTGATGCGCACTTCACGAATTACTCGCGGCTGGAGTGATCACCCCTCAACTGGTGAACGAAGATGATAAAATGCTTTTTTGACTATGTCACAGTCACTGCGAATGTGCATGTGTACGTCAGTGTAGATGTCAATGGTGGCAATGAACCTCTGCAAATACCTTAAGTGAATACGAACTATAAGTTGATTGCAACAGTGACAATCAGGCAATGCAATTTGTCCAACACTCGCAACCATCTGCAGAATTGCAGATCTGCAGGCAAACAAAGGTATAAAAACGAAATTTGATGCATATTCTCGCTAAATAACTTACCGTTCTTTCCTTTTGGTAGTTAGGTTTAAAGTAGTGTTGCCACCACTTTTCTTACAATGTAGAATTGTGTTAGTCGCCTAAATCCCAACTTATACTTTGTCCTTTTGTATTTAGTGTATCATTGAAACCATAAAAACTGGTAAATAAATAAACAATAGTGATTTTTAACTAGAAATTACTTTTCTTGCCCATTCGCACCTGTCTACTCTTGTCTTCCTAGATTCGCCCTGGCTTTTGATCTTCCAGGTAATAGTACAGAGGGCTGGGTTCTAATTCTATAAGACATCGTCCATAATAACCCGATCTCAGTGGTGCATAATGCCTCGCGCCAACTCTACCTATTAACCTGGTTCCTTTTTGTTCACCTCGGCCTTTCTTTCTAGCCCCAAGTTCTATTTATTAACAACTTCTCTGCTTGGTCAGCTTCAGTTTTGAAGATGTCTGCAGCATCAATATTATCGCCTATTTTATGCAAACATTCCTGTCAATGGAATACCCAAGCAGCATTTGGTTTTCTCGTTAATGAAACGATTGTCTTTCCGTTGTTTCTAAATCGCGGTCGCCCCCATGATTGTTATTTGTTCGTTAGGGATCTAGTTAGCATTATACTTCAGTCTGCTTCGTCTCTTTATTGGTGCACTCAGGTGTATGGTTCTCGCACGTAACATCAAAGACCAATTAGAAGGGGCGGCATGTTCCCACTTCATGCGCTGAATGATGCGATTGGCTGGGGCTTGGTGGCAAGCCTTCCATAGATTGCGCTTGCATACAAATACATTCAAAGCTGGAATAAATCAAAACACATTGAAACAGAGCTTGCTTATGACATTTAAAAATGTTCAAAATAGAAAATGAACCTGTCTATAATTTGTTAGGCAAGATCATACCATCCGTTAGAAACTGTTAAATTATTCAGTAAAGGAAGTTGCTTAGATAAATCATGCAGACTAGTCAAATTGAAACAGCCTTTCGTGTAGCACAAAGTAAAATAATGTAAATATATTTGGCAACGCATTTTGTTTATTTGTCCTCCGGAAACTGAGTTCCAACTGTGGCAAGCTCGACCATTCTCTGATTTGGCAAGCTGCCAGTGGTTTTGATGCATTTTTTTTTACCACAGTTGATTCTAACATCTTACTAATTTGGCTACCTGATAGATGAACCGCTTCCATGGTTTTAGTAATTTATGGGAATTGTGAGACCTTTAGGGTAAATGACCTAGAACTCGGGACGTCAAGTGGCGTTTTTTGGTATAAATGTGTACGCTTAGCAAATGGGATGAACTGTGGGCCACTGTTGCAGTGTTTAGTGGTCTCCATTTGCCTGGGTAGAGTGTCCAAAGTTGAGTATACTTTCACATGTTCAGGAAGTTTTAGATTCCTAAGTTCACACTTGGGAACATGAAGAGGGCTTATATTTTAGTTTAGGAATATGTCTTCTCATTATGACCCGAAAGACGATTAGTATACTAGCTTGCAGACAGGAGGCTTGTAAGCAGCATATTGTATTCTCATCTGTTCTGAGCTAGCCAATTGCGAAGCAGCACAACGCTTGTATCATACTGCTGCACAAAACCACAGTTAAGCATTTCAAAGCATGCTCGTGTGCATGGTAAACGGGAAAACATTAGTCCATTTTGTCCAGTGTAATGGAAATGAGTGGCCTAATGCCTTTAATTTGTTTATCTCTGAATTGTCATTAATTTTATTTGTACATCATGGAAGCCTTTTACAAGTCTTCTATGTTGCCCAATTAGATAGCAATTTAAGTTTAATAGTGTCCACCTTAGTAGGCATGAAGCAGATTATGTATAAATACTTTGCTTCAAAGAGCAAGCTATGAGGTTGGATGCTAGTTTCTCAGTTTTTCAGCAGCTTCATTTGCCAATTTGGAGGTAAAACACTTACCAATGCTTTGTTGGACTGCTTAGCTCTTCGTCATGGTTACATGTAAATTAAAAGCTCCGCCCGTATGTTCCCACTAAACAGCCCGATCTCTGGATCATGCCAGTGGCTCCCAGGCTTTTACTACTTTAAAAATGCATATTCTGACCTAGTATTGTATCCTTTGGACCTTAAAAAGTCCGTTGTAGGCGGAGCACTTAGCCTCGAGCTTTAAGTTACAGAAAAATCAAAGTAAGGAAAAAACAAACAATCACCTTATTACAATTATTCAATAAGACTCATTTGATTTTCTTTGACAATTGACAGATAAATCAAAATTCATTTTGTAAATTTAAAATACCGAGGTCCTGCAGACTGAATCTGATTTTTCTGGAGGGAATGGGCATCAGACTGAGAGGAATCATCTATATTGCAGATGCTGCAATTTGTTTCTTAAGCAAACACATTGATTTTTAAAAGTTTAAACAAAGAATTTGTAGGCAAATGCGTATATCGGTCTACTTATTTCTTCAGCAATTCGTTCTTTCATTTATTTACATTAACTCTTAGCATCTCAAAACCCCCCTCTTAGCCATTTCTCACTATTTCTGGCCTTCCACTCTCCATGGAACATCCTACAACACTTTCCTCTAAGATGCATAAACGCATTTGACCACTGCAACAAAATGAGGAGGAAAGCACGTGTATCAGCGACTGTTCCACACAAAGCTCTTTAAATCGGTAAGATACCGTAAGAAGTAGGAACATAATCAGGATCAGTGTCACCATTTTTGCGCAATGTTAGACTAATTTATGCTCATGTTGTGGAGCAGAGCCTCCCGTCCGTCATGCCCTGGGTTGGATAATTTCGATCTAGTATGAATGACCGTAATACTTTCATTGAGGTGTAGGAAAACTGTGGATGTAGACGCTTGGAAAGGCAAAGATACCGGGAGGAGAATGGTAGAAGAACCAAATTCTTTGAACCAATAAAGAAGGACAGGGAGAATGTGTCATCGAAGCACAGTGTGCTCAAGGATGTCATGGATGAGTAGCTGTGTGAATGAATGAGCGAAGGCTCCCACCTAATCAGTTTATTTGTTTGAAAAGAATGAAGGTGATGTTGGAGATAATAAATGCCTAATTTACTCGAATCACCAGACATAGTGAAAAGCTCTCGTTAAATTTTAGAGTTGTAAGTGTTACCCTTGCTAGTCCTTTGTGCTTGAATGTGCTTAAAAATGAGAAGAAATTTATGAAGAAAAATTATTTTTATGGGATGGCTGTGGACCCAAAAATACGTTTTCAATTTCCCTATTTTAAATTTCCAGGTTTTAAGTTTATAACCCCAGCAATTTTTGGGGGGTTTTCACTTGATTGCTGATCTTCGACCGTGGTAGGGACGTCTACTCCTGTTTAGCCCCTCCCTTATTGGCTTACATTAAGCTGAGATATGCTAAATATAAGTAGATAACCACTCTAAGGCCAAGGTCAATTAGCACTATAAATACGCTCAAGTGAAGGAACCTAGAGCCTGAGGTAGTCCCTTC